GCAGCTGTGCCTTGCCGTGCATCCTTTGTGCAGGATCCCGTCTGATCCTTTGTGCAGGATCGATACAGGTTATTGCTCTACAACATCCCCTCTGCCCTGGCGGTCCAGTATATATGCTTTGCTTCAATGGTTTATTTCTCATTTTTCCCTCATTAGCTGGATAAGATACAGAGCTCTGCACAAGCCTGTCTGGGAGAGAAGGAGAGGGTGTCTGGTGCATGCTCAAAGCGATGCTGCCTTTCCCAGCCTCCTCAGAGCCTTGCTCATGATCGTTGGTTGCTTGTTGTGCGGCGGAGGTAGTTCAGCATGAATAGAGTGAGCAGAACTCATGTCACAGAGGCAGCCGCACTGAATGTGATAAGTGCAAGGGAGACTGCGGCTTGGAAAGAGATGTCTTTCTTTGCCAGTGCCGTTTGCGGAGGGCAGATAAGCTTCCTGGAAGCCGAAGCTCTCTGGAGAATGTGCAGAGGGATCAAGCCTGACTGTAAGGTCTGTTCAGCGCTTGGCTCGTGGTATTGTTGGTGGCACTGTGATATGTTTGTAATGTAAACAGCTGGGGTGAACACAGCTTCAGAAAGGATCCGCACAGCTATCGCTGCTGATCGACTTTAATCCCTAGAGGGCTGCTGATAAGCAACCTAACCTGGTCGATACAGGGATGCTCTATTCCAGGGAAATAACAACAAGTTAAAGCTTCCCATCAAACCTTTATTTTCTCTCTTTAGTAGTTCCTGTTTTTCCATGCAGTAAAGTAACCTGGTTCCCCTCAAAATAGCAGCACCGCATGACATCTCTGTATTTTGGGGGGGGGGATGGGGGCCCAGGCTGCAGCCCCTGCTTTTCATGGGCAGTGTTCGGATAGGTGGGGCTCCTGGGATCCAAGAGAGCACAAGAGCAGGGCTGGCAAATTGGCTTTCTCAGGGTCTGGTTAGGCAGCCTGTGTTTGCACAGATGATGGGTCACGGCTGCATTTCGTTCTCTGGAATGAAATGTATTTGTTGTGCAAACTCATTTAAGGAAAAAGCTGACTTTATTAGTTAGTCTTTGGAAAGCAGTCAGCATTTCTGTGACCTGTTCTTCCATAGCTAAGGAAGAGCAGGCTTAAGCAAGCACTCACCAAAGGTATGTTGCGTAATCAGTGACGTGTAATTTACCCAATTTATTCTTCTGTAGGAGCTTAAATACATTAGACATCGGCTGTCAGTCCGTACAGAGGCGCAACGTGAAATATGTTGTTTTAATTTAATTTTAATCAAAACTAGGTCCTAGAGCAGTTGAAGAATGCTTTAGTTTTTCCTTAGACTCTAATAAAGTGATCTGTATGTCCTGTAGTACGGGGCTGCCTGCGTGAATCGGGCCATTTCCTTGCTGCTGTCTGACAGCCCAGTAAGTATGAATGCAAATTCTGATCTCCTTCACCTTTCCACTTCGAGTCACCATATGGAAAAGAGACGTGGATTCCACCCCACTTCAGAGTCATGGAAATGAGCTGTTATGAAACGGGGAAAAGGAACTGTATCCTGGCAATTTCTGAATGAGCAGCTTGAGAATTGACGTAATTGCAAGGCGCCGGGAGAGAGCCGGCAGAAAGGAGGAGTCAAGTTAGAAAATGAGTAAAAACAAGAGTGTGTTTAGGAAAGCTTAGCTCTCCTTCCTTTCCCTTTTGGCCAGATGATGTTTTGCCATTGCCGGGTACAACTTCCTTCAAAGCAGATAACTAATTTATGCCAGAAAGACCAATTAAAGTAATTGATTTCCAGTAATGCACAGCCATCTTATAAAATAATCTCTGGCTCTCCAGTATGGCAGATAATCTAATAAACAGAACGTGGAAGTTTCATCACATGGAAATAAATATGAAAGATAGGGTTTTGTCTGCAGATGGCATACATGAAAGAAGCAGAGATAACAGGGCTGAAATTAGTTCAGAGACCTACTTAACATAATGCCTTTTCTCCTGATATCTCCGAAGAACTGGGAAATCAACATATCCTGCTCGTAATACTTTGTATTTTGCCCCTGTGTTGTGCAAACAGCCTGGCTTTCCTGGTGTTCAGGTGATGGCAGCAAGGGCATCCCCTTGGAGGCCATGGCCGCTTTGGACTGTTACCCATGTCCAGAGACGTTCTCCCCAAATCTGTCAATATCTGCTAAAAAAAAAAATGCTCCTTACAGATTCTGATGTTTTGAAGGGACAACACAATCCCTTCTCCTCTGTGCTGGTTGTCGCTCTTCCAGCAGCTGAACCGGAGGGAGAGGAAGACCTGGGAGATCCCATCCAGGCACTGGCAGCAGCAGGAGAGGGAATCTGGCACCAGCTGGCCCTCTGGTAGCAGGATGGGAGGGACTCTCCTCAGTCCCCTGTCATGGTGCTCGGATCCTCGACCGTTCAGCTGTCTGAGCTGGGGGCATCCATGCTGCCTTTCCCGTCCTCGAAGCCTGCAGACAGCAGGGTTTGTCCCCGTCTTGGTACCCAGTTGGGCGCTCTGGCTGCCGCTCCCATTACTGCTAGTGTGGGATGAGTAAAATGCTGGTCCCCCCCATCCCTCTGTCTGCGTGCCCGGAGGTGGGACTTGTCTGGTCTGGGGAGGTGGCACAGCTATTTCACCTGCACCCCTCATGGCTTGGCTAGAGTCAGAAATGTTTAGATTTAATTCGATTTATAATTTTTTTCCTGCCTCTGCCACGAGTCGCATCCTATACAAGGATCTCTCCACTGTCGTTTCTGTGCAGCTGTAAAAAGAAAAAAAAAATGCGGCTCAGTTAGCTGAGCAGGGCGTTGGGAAACACCGCAGGAGAGGAGGTGTTTCCTATCGTAGACTTTATATGGCACTTGCAGGATGACAGTGCTTAAAAAGAGCACGCGAGACTGTGGCCCTTTGGCACCCGTCCATACTTACGTGTTGGGAAGATCTTGATGCTGGGAACGGTGTTTGGTGTGTGCAGCAAGAGGACCGACTGCTCGCAGAGGCCTTCATTTTTCAAGTCATTTGGCGATGCGTGCCTGGACCCTGGGTCCATGTATTTGAAATGGGAAGGGTTTTTTTTTTTTCCTGGAGGCCCCTAAGCAGTGACACGGGGCAGGGGCTGATGTTTGAAGGGAGTTTGGTGCTGCTGGTCCCTGGCTGCTGCAGTCTAGTGGAGAATCTAGCTTTTCAGAGCGTTTGGGACTTTTGTTTTGCTAAAAAACCTCCAAGCATCAGGAAGAAAAGATCTTTGTCTTTCAACTGTGAGCAAAGAAAGCTCGTAGTATATGTCCGAGAGCCACCAGAAATCCCCTAGCAACCAGGCTTAACGATCCTGATATTTCGTTGCAGGATCATAGGAAATCAGAAACTCGTACAAAAGCACTGCTGTTATTTAAAATACAAAGTTGCTGCTGGAGGCTTCTTTATAAAGAGGCCCAGAATGGGCAAACCCTGTTCCTCGTGGTATTTATAGCTTGCCTTTTAGCATGTGCACACATAGTCCTTGTGCTTTTGAAACAGCTGGTACTGACTGAAAACTGGGTCCCCGAGGTCAGGGTCTGAAACAGAGACTGAGGAGTTTTAATTTCAGGCTACCGTCTTTGGAAACTCGCAGCCTGAGCCAATGAACTGGGAAGTTTTCGTGGAAATGTGGGGGAACTTTCCATCACACGCTCCCCTCCCTGCTGGCGAGGAGATTTCACGTGGCTGTAGGTGAGCTGATTGGCATGATTAATCACCTTTGGCATCTCTTTTCTGTGCTGGGAAGTTTGGAAACAACGAAAGGAAAATTACTGGGGCTGGCCTGCTCTTTGCAAACTCCCGGGCTTCAGTGTCTGTGGATGGCAGCTCTTAAAATGCATCCGCCTCCCGTATTGCGGCAGGTACGCAAAGTAGCCCAAACAGACCATGAGGCCATTAAAAGCTGTAATCATCTCAGCTGCGTTGGCCTGGAGGATCATGCGGGTGATATGCATCTGTCTGGCACGCTGCCGTTGCTGAGTGTGGATGCGGTGACCCTGGGTCCCTGCCCATCCCCTCCAAAGGCTCCTGCTGCAGCATCGTGCTTGTCACCTCTCCCCTGTCCCGGCGGGGAGGTGAGACCCTCTCGTACGGCCATATGAATGCTACACAGCCTGGGCAGCGCTCGCCTCTGTGACGGGGAGCAGCTCCGCAGGGAACCTTGCCATTTCGAAGTGGGAAAGTGAGCAGCGCCTGTGCTTTGCATATGCTTTCCACTTGGGAGTGAAGAAGTGGCTTTTATCAGGAAGGGCATGTGTCTTCGTGGCCTGATTCCTGCTGGGGCTGTCTCGGGGGAGGCCGTCGATGAGGTCGATGGCAGAAGCAGCAGATTACATTTTGAGCATTAGTATAGACTGCAGAGGGAACAGGACTCTGCTGTTGCTACAGAAACAGCAGTCGCTCAGGATGCATAAAGGCAGCGTCCTTTGATAGAGACATGAGGTACTTAGACACCTCAGCTTGAATGCTGCATCCATTTTTGAGACAGCCTTCGGGAAGGACCTGGTGGAGAGTGTCCAGAGGAGAGCAGTCAGATGCCTAGACGACGTGGTAGCAAGGGATGATCGGGGGGCTTGGACTTCTCTTTTCTAGCAGAGAAAAAGTTAAGTAAGGGAGGTGTTATGGCAGTCTTTGTGTATGTAAGAAGTTGTTGCAGGCAAGAAGAGAGTGATCTGTTCTCCATGTCAACTCTTGTAGGACAAAAAGTAACGGGTGTGTTTTGTCAAGGGAGATTCCAGCAGGGAACTCTCTGTCTGCAGGGAGCATGCGGACAGATGGCCCCAAAGTGGCATGGAGTCTCCATTGAGATGTCTGAGGACAGCAGACATCTGCTCTGAACGATGCTATTTTGGGATGGATATTTGGGCTAGCTGGTCTGTTACGACCCTGTCCAGCCCTGCTGTCTGTGATTCTGCACTTTGCAGAAGAAGGAACCTAACAGCTCTTGTTTTACTTGTTTATGCAGGTAGTTTTGCAGAGAAGACTTATGAGTGGAGCTCAGAGGAGGAGGAGTCCGTGAGAAAGGCAGGACCAGTGCAAGTCCTCATTGTCAAAGATGACCATTCCTTTGAATTGGATGAAGCTGCACTGAACCGCATCCTCCTCTCAGAGGCTGTCAGAGATAAAGAGGTCGTGGCTGTGTCCGTTGCTGGAGCTTTTAGAAAAGGAAAATCATTCCTGATGGACTTCATGCTGCGGTACATGTACAATAAGGTATGGCTCCAGCTCAGGTGGCTCTTCCCAAGGGTATGGTGCTGCTGCTCATTGCTCCCATGTACCACCCGGGGATGAGCTGGACAGGACACTGGCTTGGTGCCCCAGGAATGCTCAAGCACCTCACTGGCATGGGCTTCACAAAACAAAATAGAGCAGATCCTTCCACAGCCCTGTGCGCCACGGGGTCTGTAGTGGACTCCTGACTTTGGGGCAGAGATGTTCACATTTTCTGCCCTGTAGGAAACCTCTCTTATAGGGGCTGCCCTCCTCCAGCACTGGGGTGGAGGCAGCACAGAGGAAAAGTGTAAAACCAAAGTGAGATGAGAACTCCAGCAACTTCTTCTGTTCCTACCTGCAGGAAGCAGTGGACTGGGTTGGAGATTACAACGAGCCTCTGACTGGTTTCTCCTGGAGGGGAGGGTCTGAGCGGGAGACGACCGGCATTCAGATATGGAGCGAGATTTTCCTGGTGGACAAGCCCGATGGTAAAAAGGTGTGTGCTTCTCTGTTGCACAGCTGTCTGTTGCTGGTCAGCTCATTTGTCTCTTCCAGCTTTTGTAAGACTCTTCCTGCCTTGTCTTAGGTGGCTCAAATGCCTGTGCAATTTAGAGAAGGTCTTCAATACCATATCCCTAATTTAGCATGAATGGGTTTAATGCAATGAGTTATACGATGTCTGGGTGTCCCTGATACGTTCTCTAGGTGTCCCTCTAACTCTGGGCATCCCAGAGTTTATTTCTCTGCTATTCCCAGGGATCTTGAATCTGAGGTCCTTGCAAACTACTCCCCTTTCCTAGAGCAGTAGCTGTAAAATGGAGTGTCTTCATTCAGGGTGGTCAAATACCATGCAAACTGGATTTTGGGGCATCCTGCAAATTCAACTTATAGCCAGGAATATTTGTATTCATCTACTCTTTAACGAAGAGCCCAACACCAAAGTGACGCTGAATTATTCACGGTGTGATTTCTAATACTGGCTGAATGTGTTTTGGGTTAAGGACGTGCGATACGCTGCCGTGTTTGTCTTCTGTGACATGAAGCTAATGCAGACTCAGGAAAAGATGCATCCACACTGACAGCAAGTATTTGAGGAGCAAAGCAGTTCCCTCCTCTGCGTTGCATAGCATTCATTTTGCTGCTTGCAGGAGTCATCGTGCTGTCAAGAGTGACTGGGGCTGCTCTTTTCCTTTGTCCTCCAGCAATTATAAGTCTGAGGCAGAAGCAGTGCGATTCCCAGCACAATAATGCAGCTGACATTCACCCCCCTACCCCTTTGGCATTTGAGAGTGATTTTGCTTGGATGAAGATGCTGAACGGGTGCATCCAAGCTGACGTGGAGCTTTCTGCCTCTCAGGTTGCAGTGTTGCTGATGGACACGCAGGGGACCTTTGACAGCCAGTCCACCCTGCGGGATTCTGCCACCGTGTTTGCCCTTAGCACAATGATCAGCTCGATACAGGTAAGAAGGGGGATGTCTCCAGGAATCAATTCCTAAAAGGCAAAAACCCAGTAGCTTGGCAGGAGCCTAACACAGCAGCTAGCCAGGGCCTTTGGTGGGAGAGACGAAGGCCATCATGTTGGCTGCACTGAGTGCAGGATTCACACATGATTACATCATCACAGGGAACAGTCTCATCTCCTCATCTCACCCCCAGAGCAGGGCCAGCAGCAGATGCACCCCTTTGCTTCCAGCTACCAGAGAGGAAAGGACCTTGGTCTGGGGAACTGGGTGTGCTTTTGTCTCAGTGCTGTTGGAGAAACCTCTGGGTTGGAGGTGTTCACGCACCAGTAACTGCGTAGCCTGTTAGGGCTTCCCTTCCTACCGTCCGGCCTTTGCTCTTGGAGGACAGTGTGAATGGGATGGAAGCTGTGTCTTGGTAAAGAGCTCAGCACATCATAAAAATGGAGAAGGAACATTATTTGGACCTGACAAGCTAGCAGGCTGGGGCATGGCAGCCCCTGGTGTTCCCATGCTGGAGTGTTTTGCTGCACAGGGAGTAGCAGTGCCTGTCTTGTCTGACAGTGTGAGTCTGTCCAGCAGTACAGCTGTGCTGGGGGCCTGTCTTGTACCGGCACCGTGGGCCAGCTGGGACTTTGGCTGTGTCCCCATGGTAATGTCGTAGGCTTTAACCACACCGACCCACGCGTTGGCCCGAAGGATAGGCCATTCTGAGTGCTCTGAAGTTTTTGTTTTTAAATGCAGGTTTATAACTTGTCGCAGAATGTGCAGGAGGATGATCTGCAGCACTTGCAGGTAAGACCCTTGTCCCTGCTGCTCTGCAGCACTGGGGTGCCTGGATTATGCTCTGCACTTCCAAGCTGTGTTGCTCTGGAAAGGCACTTTTGCATTCAGAGCCACGAAAGGGTTTTTCGGTTTCCCAACTCTCATATTGGTTCATGGGCATGGACGAACAGTCACTTGATTTGAAACCTGTCTTGCCTACGCTCTCGTAGCATGGCTTCTTGGGGACCTGGGTCCTTTGGCAGGGCGGTCAGTGGGACGCTTGCCAGGAGGGACTGTTCCTGTCTCTGGGACGCATGCCTTCCTCAGGGCTGATCGCCTGTGGAGCTGGAAATGGCCCACGGCTGTGCTTTGTGCTGCAGCGGGTGGCTGGAGGGCAAGGAGAGGCTGAAAGAACCAAGGCTGATAAGTCGAGACAAAAGTGGCCGAGAGGGGAGCTGGTGACGGTCTTCAGCTGTGTATGAAGCCGCTGCAAAGTGGAGGGCAGTATCTCTTATGTCCACAGTGCACGGGACCAGTTGTCATGGGTGGTGCTGCAGCCAGAGAAGGTTAAGTTGACTTTTTAATGGTGAGGTTAGAGGAGCATCAAACAGGCTGCGTAGGGTAGAGTACCCATGACAGACTATCTTGGTGTGGAGCACCAATCACAGGTCTGCCAGGAACAGTTTGGATACAGCTAACGCTGGCCTGTGTGTCCTTCCATGGGATTATACTGGGGTTCCTCAGGGAGCAGAGACCCATCAGAGGCCAGGACTGACCCATGGGGCTGGAAACACGCAATGACTTGCAGCAAGGGGCTAAAGTGACTGGTAACAGGGAGGGATCCAGGGTAGTTAACGGTGTACTGGCTGTACTCCTGCTGCGAGCGTCTGTCCGCTGCTCCATGAGTAGGGGCAGTAAAAGCGCTTGTTTGACTTAAGTGATGGGGAAGCTGAAGGCAGAAGTTGCACTGTTCGTGCTGTAGGACGGGAACTTTGGATTGTTAGGAGAAGCCCAAAAAAATTGGGTAGCCGTTTATAAGCCTGGATATTGGCATCTGGTACTGGCTCAATACAGGTGACCCCTGAGGGTAATTACAGCCCGGACTGTTGGAGACAAGCAGCTAACTGGATTTTTGTGGCACACGTGTCCTGCCCATTTCCTGGTATTACCTCTAGCTTTCTCTTCTGTTTAGGTGGTTCATTGATTGGTTAGGTAGGTTTTTCCAGGAGCTTAAGAAAAAGGAAAGAAAAGCAGAAGTCCAGCTGGAAAAATCAGCATTTGAAGAATTTTGTGCCATTTCAGTCAGTAAATACTTTTAACAATAATGCTTTTTTAACATTGAACTTATCGAATGCAACTCTGATCTTTCAGTTTGGATTTTAAGCCATTATTGTTTAACTTGTTGACCCATTTTTAGGCATCTGTGAAATACATTATTGTGCCTTCAGTTAGAAATTACAGTCCAGAGAGATGGGAGAGCCTTCAAATCTTGCTGGTAGGCTGATCTTACAGTCTTTGCACAGTGGGGGTTTGCAGGGAAAGTACTTATTTCTGAATTCATTTCCGCTTCTTCTTGGAGTGTTTAAAGAGAGCAGGGCTCCAGCAGTCCCCTGTAGCACGTGAAGTTTCTGGTTGGTATGAAAGCAACAGCAAACAGCTGATTTGAGCCACTTTTCACAGATTTGGCAGCCAAAAATTCCAGGCTGAGATCTTTCATGTGAGGGCTCAGCACGGTGATTGTCTGTAACAGCTCCCTGTGCCTCTCAGATGTGAACCGAAAGCACGCAGCCAGCCAATTTCTGTTCCAGCTCTGCAAATGGTGCTGTTAGCCCTGAGTCAACAACCGTCCCTTGCTGCTGTGCCTGTGGCCGACAGCCGTCTGCCCGGCTGTGCAGACTGACAAGCTAACAGTCCTGTTGTTCTTTGCTTCTCCTTCCAGCTTTTCACCGAGTATGGCCGGCTGGCCATGGAGGAGACATTCCTGAAACCTTTCCAGGTGAGTCCGAGGGTCCTGGCCAGCACACATCCCCTCCGCCGGAGGTGGCTTGGCCCCGAGCCGGTTGGCTTCACCACGAGGTGTCACTGCAGTTTGCAGGACCCGGGGGGAGATGGAGATGCCTGGGGACTGGCTCAGCTGCGTGAGGGAAAGGCTTTGTGCTTCCTTGCCTCCAAAGAGGCTTCCAAATAGATCCAACATCCCTCTTTCTTTCCTCTCTGAACCCTTGCCATCCCGAGAGCTCTGTCCTGTCCTGCCAGATGTCCTGCTGGGCTTGGAAAGCAGTCAGGTTTTGCAGCAGGTTTGTCACGCTGTCTACCCGGGGACTCTGCCCAGCCTTCGCTCTGAACCCGCCTGCCCCGGGAATCCCTGCTCCTGGCAAAATGAAAGGACGAGGATTAGCTCAGAGCTCTAGCGAGTGACAGCAGAGCTGTGGGAAGGCTCAGTTTAAGTGGGGTTTTAACTTCAAATAAGGGACATCTGTTCATCCTGCTGCTTCCCAACCTGTGAAAAGCTGGCATTCAAAAAAGGGAGAGCATCGGGCAGGCAAGAGCTTGCTCTGGACACCAGAGCTGAGCAGCTGGGAGGACGGTGGGCTGTGACAGCCCCTTCCAGTCGGATATGGAAAAAAAGAGACAAAGCAGAAGGCAGGGGGGCAGAAGGAACCCATTACACGGCTGTGGCAGTTCACTGAAGCTCCAGTCCTTTAACGGATCAAGTAATGATTTCATACGGCTTTGGTTACGGCTGCACCGAATCCTGTGCACCTGGGAGGCTGGGAAGGTGGTTGAACAGGTTTCGAAGCTTTCAGGGGTCTGTGGGACCAGGTGTGAGGCAGGGAGCGGGGCCTAAGGGGATGGAGGGAGCGGTGCTGTGAGCTCCCCACGCGTCTTCATGCCGCAGTGGAGCTGCAGGGCTCGTTGCATGATCGGGGTGGTAAATAGAAGGAAAACACCTTCTGTGGGGCTCTGGCCTTATCCTGTACAAGTTGTTCCTTTAACCAGATGCTCTTTGGCAGTCCCAGTGGCTTGTTCCAAGTTCCAGCTGGCATCCACAGTAGCTTAGGTGGTGGCTGGATGGGGGTTTGTGAGCTTCCCAAAGTGGAAAACAGCAGAGAGCAAAACATGCTGTAAAAATGCAAATAGTAATTGGGAATGGGTTACAGTTATTTTACTTTTGCCTTCCAACATAAAAATAGAATTGCCGTCCTCACCACCATCCTGGAAGGCCTAAGGGGTTTATAGGGTGTCTGTGGTCAGGAAGTGGAAATAAAATTAAAAGGTTAAAAAATACAACAAATGGACAAATTGAGATTTTGGAGAGCTTTGAGGGTATATTGGATGCTGGCATGAGCAGGTGACTGATAAACGATGTGAAAGCTACCAGTGAAAACATATGACTTGTAGTAGCAAGAGCTAGGAGAAAATTGTAACGTGGTACAAAAAAAAGCCAGACATTAAATAAATATTCCTGCTCCTTATTTAAAAACTATCAGGATAATGTAGCCAAATATTTCAGTGAAAGTGAAATACTTCCTACTCCATCAGTAAAAAGGAGGCTGTAAGGGGAAACTTTTAAATATGCTTAAGTCATTAGGACTGGATAATAGGCTCTGATTTTACCGAAGACCATAATTGCTGTCAAGTCACACAGTTTTGTGGGTAGCAAGTCTTGTCAAACAATCCCATTATCAATTTTTAAAAGACCACGAGTTTGGCTGATAAAGGCAGCTATCACCATGATACGTTGCCTTCTGTAAGCCTTATCTCCCTACGATGCTGATTAAAAACAAGTGAACAACATACCAAGTCAGCATTGTCTGTTTTAATCCATTGTAAATGGATTAAAAACTCATTAACTGATAGATGACAGAGCACGCTGGACTAATTTTAATAGGGAATCATCATCCTTCAGAAGTGTTTCCTTGGGGGTCCCCCCCAGGGTCTCTCTGATTCACTGTCATCTCCATTAATGATCTGGGGAAAAATATCAAACGACTGGAGGTAACCCTTGCAGACGTGATAAAATTTGGTAGTAGGATCGATGGTGACGTGGCCAGGTGAGCAATGGAGATCTCCTCTCCACATTGCAAAGTGGGCTTGTTCCTGCAAAGCCCCTTTTTTAAAGACAACCAAGCGTTTTGATTAGGAAGCAGGAGAAGGGCGATGGTAAATAAACTGCTTCTCCGGTGGGGAGGACGAGGCAGCGTGCAGCTCAGTGTCTGCAGCTGCGGCTGGACAAAGTCAGACTAGCAATGAGGAGCACACTGTTAATGAGGGGGGGCAATTTAATGGTTAGGGTTAAGCTTAACGAGAGATGCAGGGGCTTCTCTGATAGCTGCGGGCTTTAAACCGAGACAGCTCTCTTTGCAGAAGAGAGTCTACAGCTTGAGTTTCTTGGGTGAGGGTTCCAGGCCTGTAAGTCAAACAAGCTGAACCTCTTTTGTCCTTAAAATATACGAATCTGTAAATGAGGCTTTGGAAAACAGCTCCTATAGGAAAATGCTGCCAAGCAGGGAGAGCACCGAAAGTGTCGATAGCGAGGCAGTTGCACTGGTCCTGCTGGAAGGGAAGTAGTACTTGGCAGTGGAAAATCAACATTTCCCTTTGGCTCCTTCCTCTCCACGGTGTGTCCTCACACTTGCGCTGAAGCGTAACCGCCTGCGCTGCCCCATGCGCCCTCGCCAGATGCCAGTCCTGGTCGTGATGCCTTCGCAAAGGCTGCCCGTGGTGCCTGGCAGTTTGCTAGGCTGGAGGGGCTGAGGGTGGGTATGAGGCATGGTGAAAACAGCACGTCTGGAACAATTTTGCTTAAGAAGGAAGAAAATAATTCCCGAGTCAAACAGTGCAAGACATGCCTAATGTGTTTGTGGAAAAGTCCTAAACATGGGCATGCCTCCTAAGCATCTCACAGCCTTAGAAAGAACAGCGTGTCCTGAAACAGCTAACTGGGTGCAGTTGCTGTGGCTTGTCGTGCAGTTAGGAATGGCCAACTCACTCTTCTCTTTTTCTTTTTTTTTTTTTCCTTTCCTGATGTTTTATGGAAGAGAAATAAGGAGGGGAAATATTTTCCCTCCCTCCCCTAAATCTTTTTTCTAAACATAGACAATTTTTAGGGAAATTCCAATGAAACGGATTCCACTTGCTGACCTGCTTATTCATGTGCATGAGAGAAACCCTGGCACCCCTGCCAGGCCCTCCTGGGCTTCGGTGTTCAGGGCTTCCCCCTCCAAACCACGTATTCATACACAGGACGTAGGTCCCTTGCACAGATGAGACACCGGAGACAGGATTTTTTCTGAAAACATTTTTTTTTTTTTTAAAGATTAAAAGTTGACCGGGTATCTATTTGGCAGCTTCAGTTTATTGAGTGTGATTTTACTGGCTTGTGTCGGGTGTTTTTTGCCCCTTTTTTTTTTTGAAAAAATTTTTTTTTTTTTTTTAAGATTAAAAGTTGACCGTACTGGTATCTATTTATTTATTGCATAGGAACTTTGAATGCCTCAATGAAGATTACAAAAGCCAGTGATTTCTTATTCACCCTCGTTATCCTGCATCTGCTTCTCATTAAAAGTCTGTCTGGAAGGCTGCCCAGTGAAAAAGGCTGAAAAAATGAGCCTGTAAAATTCCCATAGGATGGAACTAAATGTGGCTGGAATGAGGGAGCTCGTTGCCTTTTGTCCTGGTTAGCAAAAATCTCTTTCTTGTTTTGCAGTTTAAATGATTGACGCTATTCTTCAAGCTAGGGAATCAAACTGCCACCCAGCAAACCCGTGCAGCAGTCCGGGGTCTGCTCCCCCTTCCCCCTTGCAGGACACGGCCACACGTGCAGCGAGTCTGCGCGGTCTCAGCGCCACGCTGGGGTGGCCCTGCACAGAGGGGTAGTTCCACCAGTAAAGGTGTGAGTTGCTGCTGGAGCTGGGCAGAGACTCGGGGCCAGGTCTTGTTGCGGCATGAAGGTAGGGCGAGGGTGCCAGGGGGGGGTCCTGCCACCGCTGCGGTCTCCGACGGCTGAGCGTGATCGGCTGCTGCGAGCGGTGGCAGTGGGGAAGGAGGCCCTGAACTCCCTTGTGAACCCCTTTTTGATAATGTACAGCAGTTACACGTCTCATGTAGCCACTCCTGGTCCTGCGATTAGCAGCAAAGAGCAGAGCGATGCCCTTGAAAGATGAGTTTTTCCGAGCTGGAGCAGCTGGTAACTTTGACTCAGGGGGTACTGTATGGCACTGACCCCACTGTGTTTCTGTCTCGGTTTTCTAGTCCCTTATATTCCTTGTTCGTGACTGGAGCTTCCCATATGAATTTTCCTATGGATCCGATGGTGGCGCAAGATTTTTGGAGAAGCGGCTGAAGGTGCGTTCTTTCTGACCTGGGTTTGTTTAATGAGCAGTGCTAGCCTGGGTCTACGCTCATGGGTGATGGAGAGTGAAGAGGCAAATCTGGCTTGTGACCCAGGGACTTGTGACTGCCATCACCTGAGTGGCTGGAGAGTGCACAGGGCACGAGGGTGAGACCTTGATCTGGGGGACAGCCGGCGCTGGCGAGTGTTATCCTGGGGCAGGGAGCAGGGAATGGGGTGCAGAGCACCGGCACCAGTGAGGGTTCGGCTGGGTGGCCGCAGAGCTGGCTGTTAGGTGTGAACTGCAGTGTACAGAGATGCTGGTTACGGTCACGCTTATCCAGTGCCTTAAAATCACAGAAGAGGCATTTTAGGAGGCTGAATTTCCTTGCCACGTTCAGTGGAGGGCTGAAGCTGCCTGCATAGGCTTCTGCCCAAGCCCAGGCTCCTTGGGGCTCTCTTGCTGGGAGCAGCTGGGAGAGGCGTTAGAGATGGGAGTCAGCAGATTCCCTAGAGACCGGGAAAAATGTTTTAGTAATAGATAGTTGTGCAGTAAAACTGACGGGCGAGGGCTCTGCTGGGATTAATCAGGAAATGCATGGGTGATTTGGTAGTGGAGAGACCTAATTAAAGGGGAGACAAGAAAGGCCCTAGTGGGAAATCCCAAATGTTTTTGTATTCCAGTCATACACGGCCATGCATGTTTTCCAAATGATAATAATATGCCCCAGGGCATGTGGTCAGAGATACGCTAGTTCCTTGGTCGCTGGAGGAGCCTTGTCTTTGTCCTCCTGCGGCATACCCCTTCTGGCTTGCTCTTCCTGCTGTAAGCAGCCACAGCGCGGAGTACCCTGTGCCCCTGCCAGCACCGCTGGCCCTGCGTTACCGGTGTCCCCACCAGAAGGAAACCCCCTGACCCCAAACTGGTCTCTCGCAGGTCTCAGGAAATCAGCATGAAGAGCTGCAGAACGTCAGAAAGCACATCCATTCCTGCTTCACCAAAATCTCCTGCTTCCTCTTACCTCACCCGGGCCTGAAAGTCGCCACCAACCCTAATTTCGACGGAAAACTGAAAGGTACGAAGGCAAAGGTCTGTTTTTTAAGTGGATACCTTAGATGCCCTGGCAGACTGTCCTGATGGTTCCTGAAACCTCTAGAAATATTTTCCATGAAAAAACTTCTGGGAGAGGAGTTGGATCCTCCTCCCAACGACATACCCGCGCTTGGCTCATTCTTCCAAGTCCACCAGCAGCCTGTTCGTTGCCAGATGCTTTTAACCTAAGATGGAGGCGGAGGCCGAAAAGGTGTGGGAGGCTGAAAAGGTCTCAGAGCTGCTGGCAATATGCACTGTCAAGACAGATGGCTGATAGGAAACCGGGGAAGGGCAGGGCTGAGATAGGAAGTTTATGGACAGGGCGTTAAGCCTGTAATTAACCAATTATGCCTCACTTGCAATTCGGCACAGATGCGGAGCGGTGCAGGTTGGTTGCTGGAAGGCAGGCTGGTGCTTGCGGAGGGCGGAAGGCCGGTTACACGTGCTCACAAGGGAACATTATTTCACTTTGAAAAGCTTTCCAAGGAATATCTAATCTTCCTGACTTATCTGATCAGTGGTTTCCCTACAGGTCAGACTTAGTTCAACAGGTAAAAGAAAGGGGAAGGAAAAGAAGCCATGGTAAGATTCTCCACCCTCAAAGGAGCCATACGCTGTGGATTTTCTTAGTTGGTTGTTGTGAACCAGCTGCTTACCAGCATCGCTGGTTACAGGCTGCTTGCAATCTTAGCAATAGAGAAAGTGGCCCATTAGTCACTTAAATTAGCAGACAGAAAGATGTTACTTTTTCTCTGGTTTTTGTCTGGCTAGTGATTAGACTTCTGGCAGATTGTTCTTGTGATTAGTGATTAGTTCTTCTGGCAAACTCTGTGCTAACCAGCAAGCAGGACAGCGAGGCGGGACGGGGGGGAGGCATGCTGGTGGAGACTGAGCTGATCTGTGTTAGTTCCCCCCTTAATTTCAGGTGCTGAGTAGTACTGAACAAGTGGTGTGTGCTGAACTGGCACAGGAGTTGGCAGCGGCTTCTTGACACCATTTTTCTTGTTCCCTCAGAGCTGTACTCAGCTTTTTGTGCTCTGATGGAAGAAACGTGGGGAAACTTCCCCTCTCTCCTTACCTTCCAAATGCCTGGATGTTGCACTGTTTTTTCTGTCTCCAGTCTTGTACAGTTTCATTTAAATGGCAATAAATGGATGTCAGACACTATGAAGCCATAAGAATGACTGTTAGGAGACGAGTCTGCCTCTGTTGAAGTGACACAAGCAGCCCTTGGACCCCTCAAACAGCGCCCTGTGCCAGCTCTGTGCTTTGGCAAAGGGGACAGGCTGGTAGGAGCAGAGATTGTGCCTGTTCCTGGTACCTGCACCGAGGGGAGTCTGACGGTGCAATGTAAATGCACAGTCACTCGCAGGAGTCCTTTGTGTACCTGTACCAAGTGCCTAATGGTTTGCAAAAGCTTTAAAATGCTTTGCAATGAGAATTTCACATATGGGTTCATAGAGGACCAAGAACTCGGCACAGAAAATCTTGCCTGCTGGCACAGGAGGTGGCAGGGATGAGAGCCAGAGAGCCTAAGCCCCGGCAGAAGATTTCCACTATGAGGGCCATGGAGCAGAGCAAAGGGAAGGCACAGCATGTGCCCGTGCCTTGTCCACTAAAGGTCATGATTTGCGAAGAGTGTATATGTCTAGGCAAGAAGATGCTGCTCTCTGGCTATCAGCGTTGCGTGCACATTACCAGCGTCATCAGCAAAAAGCAGGTTTTTTTTCCCCATGCAGTCACATTTGTGTTTGCGCAAGTATTTTTGAGACCATGAAGCTGGTTTGTGGATATATGCACAGCTGTATGTTCTGTCCGTGGGTTAAGTAGCGACTTAACCGGGGCCACGATCATTTCTGAGTGCTCACATCACTAAATTATAGGGTGTCTGAGTCTCTGGCGTGACTCTCCTGCTCTTGTTTCATGTGAGTGCACACTGAAGCGCAAGTCTGACGTTGGGCTGGTGCTGATGACATTGGGTTTTGTTTCCAGAAATAGACAATGAGTTCATCAAGAACTTGAAGATTTTGATTCCTTGGCTGCTTAGTCCCGAGAGCCTGGACGTTAAGGAGATCAATGGAAACCATATCACCTGTCGAGGCCTTGTGGAGTATTTTAAGGTATTGGCTTATTTAAGAGAAAGTGGGCTTATTCATCTGTGGCACACTTGCACTTTTGCTGTAATGAAAGGGGAAAGCAGCAGCAGGCAGGCCAGCACTTAATGGCCGGAGGAAATGTTCTTGGTCTAGCTAATAGTCCTGACTCTCATTGCTGCAGAAAACAAACAGCTCACGGTCGCGTATTTGACCGCGCAGTAAGCCCAAGAAGTGGGCAGGGCTGTTTTCCTCCCCTGGAGAACTGAGGGCCAGGGGGTGGTAGGCTGAGGGCCGTATTCCCATTGCCTTTGGAAAAAGCTTATTTTTGTTGTCATGACTACTGGGACATTTTAATGCAAGACATCAGTGAGTAATTCTCACCACCTACTCTCCAGGGCTACCTGACTCTGGCTCCTTCTCCTTCACTGAAGGACGGAGGTAGGTGCAAATCCAATGGTAGAAATACTGGGCGTAAGCGGTGGAGTGAGAGCCTTGAGTGACTGACCCAGGCCACCCAAGGAGTTGACCTCGAGCCATGCTACGTAGCATTTTCTGACACAGCATCCCCTGCTGAAGCCATCTTGTGCCAGGAACGTCCTCCTCTTCTGTGCTTTTAAACATCCTGTTAAAGCTGTGTCTGGAACTGGGCGGGGGTGTTTGCGTGTTGCTCGTGAATGCCATGTTCAATGTGATTTCATTTTCTGTGCACTGTTTTGCAGGCATACATAAAGATCTACCAAGGGGAAGAATTGCCACACCCAAAGTCAATGCTGCAGGTATGTGAGCGTGAGCTGGTGGGCATTCATGCACTGTAATTGCCATTGATTTCCAGTTAATTGTCAGAGGTGTCCAGCTAGTGCAGCACATTGGGTTTTCTGTGATTTTATTTCAAATATCTTAGTGTAACAACCCAAGAAATAGCCCTTTTGGAAGTATTTGGCAGTCACAAGTCTGATATGGCTTAGCAATTGCGGCAGCACGGCTCGTGCACCTCGGCCGGACTGTGGTGACTCGCTGTCTGTGCACACAGCGTCAACCGGCTTAGCTGAAATTATTCCCCCGCAGGTAGATAGCATCGTCTTTGGCTGCGGTGGGGCCGCACACGGAGGTGACGTGGCCCCGCACGCGGGCAGCGGCTGCTGGGCTGCAGCTCTGCTCTCTGAGCCAGACGGCTTTGTGGGAGGTTGCAGCTGTAGCTGTTTACATATGACTGAGCCTTTTATCTGTTTTCTTGCTGTTTCCCACAGCCGAAGCCAAAGTTTTCGTTGCCCTGGCTTGGAGGGGAGGAATCCTCTCTTCATGCAGGCTTTTGCCTGGGGGGACTGAGTTGACTGGACGTGTAAATACGGGATGATCTTATTTGGCATTGGTCAGAGGCTGGGGAGAGTACACTTGGCTAAGACAAGGGAGCTGTTTAATTCCGTACGTGTGCACCAGGGTACTGTGCACAGCGTGGACCGTGTGTGTACACGTGTGGACCATGGGTACCCAGGCAGACAGTGGTCTGTCTCTCTGCAATTACACTTCTTAACCCTGTCGTTCTGCAGCTAAACTCTGTACCCCTTTTGCCCTTCTTGCAGGCCACAGCAGAAGCCAACAATTTAGCAGCGGTTGCCACTGCCAAAGACACCTACAGCAGGAGAATGGAAGAGGTAGGTGGTGCTGAGCACGTCGTTTCACAGCGCCCATGTCTCCTGGCTCTCCTGTCCTCGTGGGGAAACTTCCCTGCCTGGGTTCCTGGTAGAAAACGTCCTGCATGGACCTGGCCAGGACTGGTTAGTGCTGCATGTTCAGGGTCCCAAAGAGGGTCTCTCCTATGTGGTGGACAAGGGGCTTTCTCGCAGGCTGGAGGAGAGCAATGCCCGGGCAGGGTATCATGGCAGGACAGGGGAGGGTGATTGACAAATGGTCACCGTTTCATCTGATGGCAGCTTTTTGCAGACCACGTGGCCTCTGCTGAATTTGCATCTTCCTTCCAGTGTTCCCCAGCATGGGTAGATGCAACCCAAAAATGTGATGTAATGGGGTGGCAGCGCTGCGTGACCGTGCAACCCATGCTACGGCTGGTGCTAATTGGGGGATAAAGTCATTATAACTGGCTTTTCACCTATGCCCTGCCCTGTCAGCCCATCCCTCAGCTCTGGCGAGGGGATGGTTGTGATGTTTTAAGGTGAAGCTCAGACCCCAGCCTGTCTCCAGCCACTTCCAGGCCCCCAATCTGTTCATCAGTATTGGAGATCGCTGCCTATTGGCAGGAAAAAGGTACGGGGCTGCGTGGCCAAACTGCCTGTGGACTGCCCTGGGCCTTAGAACTAATGTGAGCATATTCTGGAACAGGAGGAAAATGCCGCGGGGTTTCCAGCACTAGAAAATACTGGGGTTCAGGGTCCTGCCGGTCAGTGTAGCTCAGCCGTCAGTGTTGCCCGAGATCCTGGCTTGGGCTGTGAGCGAGTTGAGTAGGGGAGCTGTGGGATGCAGCTTCCCAGCGCAGACACCCGCTGCCCCGGTTTAACCTGCGCCTTGCAGAGCTGTCCCAGATGGACAGCACAGTCATGGAGGTCTTCCTGCAGGATCTAGTGGTCCGTGCCAAACGGGAGCCTGTAGAGCCCTAATTCCAGTGCTTTGCACGGCACAGCACAGGAGCTGTGGGTGCTGAGGATTCTGGAGTGATTGGACTGTGTTTTCCACGCAGGTCTGTGGTGGGGACAAGCCTTTCCTTGCACCTAGTGACCTCCAGACCAAACACATGGAGCTGAAGGAGGAGGCTGTGAAGCTGTTTCGCGGGGTGAAGAAGATGGGTGGGGAGGAGTTCAGCCGTCGCTACCTCCAGCAGCTGGAGAACGAGATAGATGAGCTCTACATCCAGTACATCAAGCACAACGACAGCAAGAACATCTTCCACGCCGCCCGCACCCCCGCCACGCTCTTTGTGGTCATCTTCATCACTTACGTGATAGCTGGAGTGACCGGCTTCATTGGCTTGGACATCATAGCCAGTCTGTGCAACATGATCATGGGCTTGACACTTATCACACTGTGTACCTGGGCATATATCAGATACTCTGGGGAGTACAGAGAACTGGGCGCAGTAATAGACCAAGTGGCCGCAGCGTTATGGGACCAGGTAGGATAAAGAGCTTTTGATTTAAGAAAACAAACCAACCTCACCAAGCTCTTAAGCGTTGAGTTTCCTGGGGCTTTTCCTCCCCTTTGAAATGGCTTTTGCATTTGCATTTTGGGTTGTTAGATGCTCCAGCTGGGCCTGCCTGGGCAGATCCAGCTGCTTGAGCTGGTTGTGCTGTGATCAGTGAGAGAAGACCTGTGCCCTGTCTTCTTCAGACAGCAGGACGATGAGTTTTAGGCCATGCCTTACACCTTCTAGATGGGGGAAGCAGGGACAGAGGAAATGTTTTCAGATCAGTTTGTGGAGTTGATTGTAAGGGGGACAGGAGGAGGGCCTGGGTAGGACCGCTCTGTGGTTGTAGGTAGGCAGTACGAGATGGGTTGGAGAGCAGGAGTGAAGAGCAAGGCTGGAGCTGTGTACCAACCCACCCCTTCCCCTGCTCGAGCCTCTGAATCCTTCCCAGTGTGAAAGACAAGCCGTGTAGATCCGGGCAGGGGATGAGAAAACTCACAGCAAGCTATTTTGTTCTGCCTTTTTTTTTTCTTCTTGTCTTACCCGTCACCAAATGTTGGTTTGTGGAGCCTCAGACCTTGCAGGAACGGGGCAGCTTTGCTTAGGGTCCCACCGGGGAGGCGTTCTCGGAGCCAGTGTGTGTGGTTTTTGTGTGTGCGTCTGTGTACGTCAAAAAGAAAGACCCGTATCTCTCTCCTGGTTCAGGGCAGGGATTTTGGCTCTCCCCTGGTCTGCCGGAGACTGAAGCCAGGTCTCAGCTCTGCCTGTTTTGGCACTGGGCCCTGCTTTCCCATTACAGCCCCTGCTTCCCCACCCCAGCCGTAGCTGCGCTGGGTCAGTTGGTCTCACCCGCTCTTTTTCAATTTCTTTTTTTTTTTTCCAAACAACATGGGAAGGTCTCGGTTGGACCCCGATGTCAAACAGAAACACCCCTAAAAATCTTAAAAATGGTCAGAATGAGTAAGCACCCCCCCACACACACCTCCCTGCGTTGCTCTGCCTGCTTTCCGAACAGCACCGTTGCAGCGCCCAGCCCCGGCAGGGTTATCTCGCAGCCCACGACCACAGTATTTTTAACACTCGGTCCTTCCTGTTTCCCCTTCTGCGGCAGCCCTTTCCTCTCCCCATTGCGGAGCTGCCGGGGAAGGCCCGGACGCTGCAGGCTCCCGGTGCCCCGCTTCGCCCCGGCCAGGGGAGTAGCCCACCGGAACGCAGCTGCATCCGCGGGCCCATGTGCCGAAATGCCAGTTAAAGGGCTGCCATGGCTTCCTGCTCGTCCCGTGGCAGAGCCGGCGGGAGCTCGTTGTTTGCTCGGCCCTCAGAAGCCACCAGCCGCAGTCGTGGGTTTCATTTCTGTAGTGCTCCGGGGGGGAGGGGGAAAGGGCCGTGCTCAACAGCTTTACCTGCTCCTTCCCTGCTTTTTATCCACCAGCGAGTTTTTGATCAAGAGTGACCACGTTTGCCTGCTTCCCGTTGCTGCACAGAGAGCTGCAGCTGGAGCTAAACACGCAGCTTTGGGGGGAAAAAAATGAAGCATTTATTATTCAGTTCCTTCATCCCAGAGCTGGGTAGCGGTGTTGCTCAGCCGGGCTGCCTTTAAAATAAGGCGGCTTGAGAGCAAGAGCAGCCCATTGCCTGCGTCCCAGGTGGGTTCATCCTGGCTGCCCTGTCCTCAGTGGCCTGAGCATCCACAGTAAATCCCCCCTGCGGTGCGGCCAGTGCCCGTGCCGCAGCCGTTTGCTCAGGGACCCTTCCTGGGTACCTTTGGGAGACGCTGGCGTGTTTAAGCCCAGCATTTGCCTATCCCTGTGCAGTAACCAGTGGGGGGGGGGGGGGGGGTTAAGCGGCCGGCAGGAAGCCGGAGATGCTGCCCGCTTGCAGACTGCCCAGCTGGGGAAAAATAAAGAGGTTAAAGTGCCCGCAGCTGCTCCCTGGCGCCCGCTGGCCCCCGCGGGCTGCGCAGCACAGCTTTCCAACCGAAGGGAAAGTTCTCCCGAGAAGGAGCTGGGCAGAGGGGCAGTACTGGCCCTGCTGCAGGTGCCGGGGCTTGGGCAGCGTGACTCCGCCCGCCGCGATACACAGGGCTGGTGCCCAAGTGCCGTGGGTGGGTTCAAAGCCCTCGTGGCTCTGTCCCATGGGGGGCTCGGGTGTCCCGTGGCGGCGGGACCGGCTGCAGGAGGGGTGGACGGAGCTGTGAGGGGTCCAGCAAGAGGGGCAGCCTGTGCTGGGTGGCCCCCCCCGGGAAGGCACAGCCGTGGTGGCACCAGCAAGTGGCTGTGGCCAGAGGCGTGAGCACCGTGCGCTCCCATGGGTGTGCGTGATACACAGAGATACTTTTTTTTTTTTTTTCTTTTTCTGTCTCCCCCCCTTCCCAATGCCTCTCCCCAGGGAAGCACTAATGAGGTAAGTGGCTCTTGTTCTCGGCATGCAACACCACTCGGCTCCCGTGGGCCAGCTGGGCCGTGGGCTCCCGGGGGAAAAAAACGCATCTCGGATCCAGATGCACGTTTCAGCCGCGTCGCTGCCTTTGGGCTTGCGGAGGACGGGGGGGCTGCGAGGGCGCTGGGCAGCGGTGGCATCCTGGCCCTGCACCAGGACACTTGCCGGTGGCTGGGCTCTGGTTGTTCCCTGTGATCCAGATGCCTGGGGAAGGGAGTTAAACGTGGGCGCTGCGCTCCAGGCGGTGCTGGAAGCCAAGTGGGGGAGAGATTTGGGTGGGGAGTGTGTTTGTTACGATGGGGCTTTTCACCTTTCGCCCATCAGTTCTGTTTGGGGATTTTCCTGTTGTGCTGAGAGGTCAAACCGAAACAGCAGTTTGTTTTGTAGCACCAACTGTGCCGGCGTCGCGCAGGCAGAGCTGAGGAGCCCCCATACTTGGCCAGGCCTCCCGGTGCCGCTGGAAGTGCCGCGTGTTGTGTTTTGGGCAAAACCACCCCATACCGGATTGAGAAAGCCGAACGCAGAGCCTGGGAGGCATGGTTTATCTCCCCAGTCTCTTCCTGGGGCAGCGTGCCGAGTACAGCTCCTCTCACCCCGCATGGCAGGGGAACTGCTCCAAGGGGAGCCGGTCCCTGCCTGGCGCTCGCGGTGAAGCTCTGCAGGGAAACCTGGGTCGACAACCGTCGGCAGCCCCCCCATAGGCCGGGCTCGTTGTGGCTCCGCTTGCCCAGCGCCACAGTGGCACAACGCTGAGCTGCTTGCCAGGCCTGCGCCGAGGGCGACTGGAACCTTATTTAGGCAAAGCCTTGTAAGCATCTAATTAAACCAAAAAAGGCATCCTTACCAGTCTGTGTTACGGCAGACTTACGTTAATCCTGCGTTGTAGCCAGGTGCTGCCCCAGGTCTGTGACAAAAGGCAGCTCCATCTTCTATCGTGTCACCAAAGCCCAACAGCTCCGTCTGTCAGTGTCAACACACTGTCCAGCTACTGAGTTACGTGGGGAGTTCCTCTTAAAAGAAAGTTGGAGCAGCTCTCACACCTCCAAAAGGCCATTTAAAAAAAAAAAAAAAAAAAAAAAA